CGGAGAGCTGGCGGCGGAGCGGCTCCCGCGGGCTGAACGTGCAAACCGGCTCCAGAGAGCGCCCAGGAGGAGCCCCCGACTGGCCAAAGAGGAATCCTGTGGCTCACCCTGTTCCCTTCCAATTCCCCTTTCCTCACCAGGACAAAGTTTAAAATCGAACTTTTATTTATTAAATTAAAAAAAAAGAAGAAAAGACTCCATGAGGGCATGATCCCTTCCCTTCCATTTTATTACCCTCTCCCCAAGCTCCAGCGGCTTTAACCCTTTAACTGGGGGCCTTGAGGGAGCAGGAGATAGAAAAGGAGGATCCAAAGTCACAGGAAAGGTATTCAAAGGCACGAAGCGGCTTTAAAGTCACTGGAGGTGGGAGCATCGAAAGTCCCAGGTTGGGGGCCTCTGTACGCACCCAAATCAGCTTAGGGACCGACTAGTATGTCCTCCTAGCTCTATAACTTCTTTTTCATGGCCTCTAGGCACCAGCCTTGTTCCCAGTGCCTTGCACAGAGTAGGCACTCAATAAATACTTGATTTATTTTCATCTGATCCCAGAGAAAGCCTTCCCCACCTATTCTTCAGGAGAGGCGCCTCCAAGCCAATGTCCTCCTGTTAGGTGGGCTTCTCCAATGAGCCTGTCTAAAATGGCAGCTGTAAATTCTCCATAACCATGGCAACAAGGGATTAGCCTGATGGGGTCACGGTGTCAGGGGAGGAGAAGTGGAAGAACTGGTTCTGGGTTTGAGGAAGCTGGGGTAATTCCAGTCCCCCCTCCCCCCTCCATAGGACTTGAAGTTTCACAGCTTCTGGCTGGGGGTGGGAATATTAGGGATTCCCTAATTGAGAGATACTCCATCACTCTTTAACTGATCAAGCTAACCAACCCTATTAGCAGATTCCACTAAAAGAGGAACCCCTTTAACTGAGACCCTGATGATAGAAATTCTATTAACAAGATCTCTACTAACACTTCTTCTATACAGAGATGCATTTGGCTAAAATTTCCATAGCAGAAATGGACCTCCACCCCCCCCTCCCCAGCTCACTCTACCTGACCTGTCATCATAACTTAGATAAATAGAATTATTATTATTATTATTAGTATTCATTTCTCTTGGAACATAGGGGTTAAATATACAGGCCTGGGGGCAGCCTCCCTGACCCTGGGGACACCCCATCTTTGGGATTAGATCCCCACTGGTCTGCCCCCCTTTTGGTACCCTGCTCCCTGCCAGGTCACTAACCCCAATCCCCCTAACTCTGGTCCCTAATGAAGAGGCCACCAGGGGGCAATAAATTATCATCATCGTTATCATCATTGTGTTTGTAAAAAGGAAGAATGCTCTGGAGCACAGGCAGCAGTGGAGTAAGAACTTGGGGAGACTGGAGCCTGGAAGCAAAGGGATAGTGGAGCTTCGGAAGCAGAAAGGATGGATGTCAAGGAGCTAATAACATAGAAAAATAAAGTGTTGGGAGTCCACATGGAAGGAAAGTGAGTTGGTGTGGTAAGAGCAGAAGAGAGAGAAGCTGTGAGCAAGGGCGAGAGAAGAGTTTAGGAAGCCAGAGTACAGAAATCGGGCACAAGGTGAGGGCCTAAGATGAGAGTTTATGGGATGGGCTTATGGCAAAGGGAAGAGGGGAGCTGAGGAGGCGTGCAGGGAGTTACCCAGGCTCAGAATAGCCAGGGGAGAGATGGAGAGCACCCCAAAGGGCAGCATGCATGGGGCAAAGGAGTGAGGGGCAAGCAGTGGTCCACGGAGCCAGGAGAGGCTGGCAAGCAGCCCTGGGACTGGAGACCCTCCACCCAGCTCAGATCTCCAGCAGGTTGCTCTGCTCCGGGCTGCCTTCGGGGGCTTTTTCTGGGGGTGCCGGAGAAGCTGAAGGTCGGGGTGTCTGGTTGGCCTCCTCTTCCCCCACGCTGCGGCCCTCCCCCAGCTCCTTGGAGCCGCTGGGTGGGGGCCCTGGGCCTGGCTCGCCATGGGTGCGTTGGTGTTTGCTCAGGTGGTCACTCCGGGTAAAGCGCTTGGAGCAGAGCAGGCAGGTGAACTTTTTCTCCCGGGTGTGAGTGCGCACGTGGCGCTCCAGCTCGTCCGAACGGGTGAACCTCTTGCCACAGAAGAGCCAGTTGCAGACGAAGGGCCTCTCGCCCGTGTGCCAGCGTAAGTGCGCCTTCAGGTGCGAGGCCTTGCCATACACCTTGCCACAGCCCGGGATGTGGCAGCTGTGGATGGGCTTCTTCCGCAGCCCAGCCGCTGCTGCCCCCAGGCGCTCTATCTCCTGGCAGTTAGGGCAGTCACAGGAGGAGCGCCCTGCTCCACTGCCCCCATATCCACCACTGCCCCCTGTGCCTGTGCCACGAGGGGTTTTGGCTCCACCACTCCCCTCCAGCTGCCCGCTATTGCCCACTGCCTTGGATTTGTAGACATCTTGGGGTAAGACATGCTGAGGCCCTGGTTGCAGAAGGTGAGGAGCTGGGTAGGGGGCTGGATTAAGGGGGGCAAAGTCGGCTGGATAGGTGGGTAGCTGGGGGTTCAATGGAGGCTGAGCAGGGCCTGTGGGCAGTGTCCCTTGCAGCCCATCACCCTGGCCCTGCCCTCCTCCTAGCCAGTTGCCCCCAGGGTGCATGTCCCACCAAGGTGTAGGAGCATTGCCAGGGCCTGGTGAGATGCCTGCATGGATGCCTGCCTTGTACCAGGAGCCGTAGGGGTGTGCCATGTCCAGAGAGGTGTAGACACTAGGCAGGCAGTCAGAAGAAGTGTGTCCCTTGGGCACTAGGAGCCCAGGATCCTGGGTGCCTGTGGGCCCAGGGAAAGAGTGAGAAAAGGGAGGGTAGTCATTGGCATAGCCCGAGGTGGGTGCTGGAGGACTGCCTGCAGGTGAGAGGAGCCCATTGGTGCCTGAAAAGGGGGCTGGGTAGGCATCCCCCATGGTTTTTGGAGCGGAGAGGTCACTGCCCACAGAGTACGGTTTCTTTGTGCCTGCTTTGCCCAGTGTTGTTGAGTCCCGCAGAGGGCTGGAGCCACCAAACTTGCTGCACGCCGCCGTCAGCATGGCCAGGGGACTGGAGCCATAGTGAGCTTCCTCCTGGGGAGACATGGAAGCAGTACTTAGGGGAGAGGAGGAGAATGCAGAGAGATGGTAAACTCTAGGCTTTCAACCTGGACACAAGGAGAAGAGAACAGAGGGGTCAGGGAAGAATTGGAGGGAATGGGGAAGTAGAGGTAAGAGGAGGGGCCAGCGAGGACTGGGTCCCAGGCCAGAGCTCTGGTGGCATTGTGGAAGGAGAGCGGAAGCCAAGGCTACCGCTTAACACCCAGCTAAGGAGGCGAGAAGCAGGGTTCACTGTGATGTAGCTGGGGGTAGGCAAAGGCCTCAGAGAAACAGATGCCTCTTAAAGAGCCTGGAGAAGAGCTGCCACACCTGGATGAGGTAAGAATTAGGGATCCTGATCCCTGGGAGCGGTCTGGAGCAGAGGCCATAGTCAGGGACCTGGAGAGGAAAGATGAGGCTCAAAGAGCAGCCTGGGAAGGAGGAAAAATATTAGGGGACTGTAGTGACCCCCATTCCAGATTTTCCCAGCATTACCCCGTATTTCACTTCCTGTCTCCACTTCAGCTCCTGACTAAGGCAGTGGCCCAGGCTGGTCTCCCCAAGGCCTTGTCCTCATGTCCCTGGTAAGGAATCTCTTGGCAGGGACTCTGAGCCTTGGGAGCAAGAGGAAGCGATGGCTGAGACACTGAGACATTGAGAGGGAACAGGGCTGCCGCCAAGCCAAGACTGTGGCTGAGGCAAGAATGTCTTTCAAGCGGGCAGTGGGCACCTCCTGCTTCGTGGAGCCAGCTGGTACCCCTTTTGTGGGGTGGAAGAGCTTGAAGTCCTCATGCCCCTCCGGGGTAAGAAATTGGGGTGGCTACGATACAGGCTCACAGCCACACCCCTCCATGCCTCAGTGTCCCCGAACACGTAGCCCACAGCCCAAGTAGCTGGTCTCTCTTCACCCTTCCGGCACAGTGAGTGAAGAAAGCTATGTAGATGTGGGGCATGAGGGTCTTTTAGAATGCCCTTAATGCCCATCCTGCTGTTGCTACAAGACTAGTCCTCCCTCAGGAGGCTGGTACTCCTCCCTGGGACAGCCTGGGAGGAGGTGCCCTCCAGAATTCCTGGCTGGCATAGATAGGCATCCATTACTGAGAATCCCACCAAAAAAAAAACAAAAAAAACAAGATGTCCTCAAAGGCTGACCCTGGACAGTTCCCTGACTGGGATCCTCAAAAGCCAATGTACTTGGTGGTGCCTTCAGTAAAGCTGAAAAGGAACCCAGGCGCCCAGGGTTCCCAGACCTGCCCGCCAGCATGTGTGTGTGTGACACCAATCCTCAAGGTAGGGCTAGGTAGGGTCTTGGGGTTGCAGTGAAAGGCGTGTGCAGTCAACACTCCTGCACTGCTCCCCACGTGCAAGCCTGATGCTCCCCCTGCCCAACTACCCCATGGACATGGACTCCCAAATCTGGGGCACCAGAACCTTCCTCAGATCTGGCCATGATGAAAGCCCTGGTGCTTCCCAGCCAGGGTTCCCTGGAGCCTCTGATGCCCCAAGCAGAGGGTGGGCTGAGGCGGGGTAGCAGCTGGGGCAGGAGCAGGGTCCCAGCAGAAAGGGAGAGAGAAACATGGAGTAGGAAGGAGAAACGCAGAGACGCAGAGACGCAGAGACGCAGAGACGCGGGAGCCAAGCACCGGGCACAGGGCGAGGAACTGATGTAAAAGCCCCCAGAGGTGGGGGAAGGGAACAGAGGGGACACTGGCCTTGGGGCAGAACCGGCAGGGACCCAAAAGAGCAGAAAGGTGGAAAGACAAAAGGGAGGGAGCTAGAGGAAACCAGTATAAACAAAGAGAGGTGATGGAAAGAGACTGGGCTAGGAAGGCAAAGGAAAACAGAAAGGAACAGGAGGAAGAGGAAAGGGGGAGGAGGAGGGGAAGGAAGAAAGCAGATTTCCTACCTAAGAAAACCACCGCGGTGCTGGGCCCCAAAACACCCCCAGACCAGGCCGCTTCTCCCGCCTTCTCCCCCTGACCGCCCCCTCCCCCTCTGCCCAGCCCGGCCCGGCTCCGTTGGTTTCCCTGCGGTCGGTTTATTTTTAAAAACGCCGACGCCGTCCCCCGCCCGGCCCTCACACTGTGGCCACAGGGGCCTCAGCCAAGCCCAGGGACCCCACCCAGCTGTGGGGAGGGGAGGAGGGGTGAAAGAAGGCAAGCAGCCCCAGGCCAACAGGAGACCCCAGCCCTGGGGAGCGGAGCCCCTCCGGGGCCCTGGAGGCAAGGAAAAGGGAGTGAGACGTCAGGCCCGCTCAGACTGTTCTAGGAGCCAAGAGCTGGGCCCCTGGCTAAGTTTAACCATAGACTCGGTTTCCTTCTCTGGCTGCTTGCGCTCTCCTGAGAAGTGGGGAGAGGGGTTCTAAATATGAGCCCTCATACCTAATCAAATGCATGACCTTTTCAGGACCCAGGAGTCTTACCTTCCAACTGTTTTTCCGCCTCCCTTCTCCCACCCACTATTCCTTAAACAACAACACTGAGCAGACTTCAAGTATGGAGGGGGACCTCTGAAGGAGGAACAAGAGGAGCTGTCCCAGCTCTCTCAGCCAGATGTGAGGCTGGGAAGGTGTTCACAGCGCCAGGCTGACCTCCCACTGGAATATTCGCTCACTGTACATCTGAGGACTGACTGGCCATAGGTTCTGAGCACCCAAGGTCCCAGTTTCCAGTTGTCCACTTTTTCAACCTCCTCCCAAGTTGTTTAGTTCTCCCAACTTCCAATTCTCCATCTCCACCTGGCCCTGACCGCCATGTACCCCTCCTCCCTGCTCTCCTGCATCTCACTCAGGCCAGGTGAGCTTCCCATCAAGCAGCCACTGCTTCCCTGTCTGAACCCCAAGTTCTTCCCACTGTCAAAGATCCCCCCCAGCCCTAACCGGTTTGGCTCAGTGGATAGAGCGTCAGCCTGCGGACTGAAAGGTCCCAGGTTCCATTCCGGTCAAGGGCATGTGCCTTGGTTGCGGGCACATCCAGTGTTGCTCAGTGGTTGAGCATTGACCTATGAACCCTCATGGTTCGGTTCCTGGTCAGGGCACATGCCTGGGTTGCGGGCTCAATCCCTGGTATGGGGCATGCAGGAGGCAGCTGATTGATGTTTCTCTCTCATCGATGTTTCTAACTCTCTATCCCTCTCTCTTCCTCTCTGTAAAAAATCAATAAAATATATATTTTTTAAAAAAATGATCCCACCCATACCAGGCTGAGGGCTTCCTGGTGGTGGTGGCTGTGGAGAAGGGGAAGAAAAGTTGAGGGCCCAGGTGCCCCCAAATTGGTAAAAGACACGGAGGGACTGGAATGCCTTTATGTTGGAACATCTCCAGCTCACAGGGAGTGAGGGACATGGAAACCCAGTTTTCATGGCACATTCCTCTTGCCAAGTGCTATCCCAGTCTGTTGTCTTTCCAGCAGGCCTTTGGGTCCCTTTCCCCCAGGCACCAGTGCCACGCTGGCAACTCTGGTGTGACGCCCACGCCCGCTGACACTGCCCCTGTCTTGGGTGGACCCAGGATTTCCATGCACCTTAGTCCTCCTGCTTCCTCAAGACCAACCGGTGTTTCAATGATGGCTCAATAGAGAGTCTAGTGGAGAGATGACAGGGAGAGCAGTTTGCTCTCATTGCAACACTTGGGACTCCTGACTGGGTACAGAGCACTGACAAGGGACATGGCGTCCACCCCATTAGCTTGTATGTCATTCCCTCAAATTCAGTCACAAACTCTCTCTCAGCCTTACACATACACCATTCCCCACCTGGACTAACAAATATGTCCCAGCTTACACACACACACACACACACACACACACACACACACACACACACCCCTGTGCTCTCAAAAAGCCAGCCACGCATGCAGTCACTGCTTTACATTCTAACACTTACACTCAGGCCAATAAACACAGGCATTAAGAGTCCGGTGCCGTCTCACACACACCTCTCCTGCAGGCTGAATGAGTTGGCTTCCTGTTTGGCCCATCACCCCTGGGACCTGAGCTAGGGCACAGGAAACAGCCATGGGGGCTTCTGAGGTGCCCAAGGATATGGAAGATTCAAGGCCACGTAAGGAGGTCGGCTTTAAGGGAGGGCTCTCTGGCTACAAATTCCTGTGGTGGGACCCAGACAGCAGGTCAGAGATGGTGACTGAGAAACAGAGTCAGAGACCGAGAAGCCGAGAAAACTCAGGACGTTATAAAACAGGCTCTGAATTGCTGAGTCCCCCTTTCCAACTATGTGCCATGATTCCCTCAGGAGCCCTGGTAGAATCAGTGATTTCTCAAGACCCCTAAATCCTGGTACCCTAGTTCCCTCCATGCCCAGTGCCAGAGGAAAGAGATGCTGGGGTCCCAGCCTGGAGGGGAAGTGGCCCAGTCCGCCCTGGAGCCTCCCACTCCCAAAATAGAGCTGAGTTTGTCTTTGGCTGAAAGCTAAATATTTGTGAGCCGGGCAGGCGGCCTCAGACCCTGGCCCTCCTCCTTGGTTCCTCTCAGGCCTGGGCCCCGTTCCTCTGGTCAGCCCCCGCTCAGGCACTGGAGCACAGGGCTGCCCTTCTCCCTTTTCTCATAGCCCACCTCCTCTCCTGTACACACCAGCCCAGAGGCTCAGCCCCTTCCCACCTACAGACCAGACAAGACACTGCTCAGGCTGAGTTCCAGGAGACAGGACCCCCAAGGAACTGAACCCAATTGTCACTCTGTGCCCGCTCAATCAGTCCCATCACCTTCTCTTTCTCCCCCTGTGTGCTACCAGCTTACCTATCTCCCACCCTTCTTTCCCCACCCGCCCCCTCCACTAGCTCCTTTCTCCATCCCCTTTGCATTCCTCAGAGTTGGTGTGCTTGGTTGACCTTAGGGGTCCTGCCTTCTTTTTGCCTAATCACCTCTCCTCTTCCTTAGACTGCTCTCTGACCCCTGATCCTGATCTCCCTCCCTCCCCGTCCTTTCTCCTGCCCCCTTCTCCCCCTCCTCTAACCCCACTCCTCTCTCCTCATCAGAGGGACCCTTGAGAATGACAAGCACCACAGCAACTGTCTGAGTGAGTTGGGAGGTGGGGGGCGGGCAGGGAGGGAGTAGGACCATTGAGATTGTGGCTGGTGTCCTGGGAGGGAGAGGGGGCAGTTACCTCAAGCAGGGAGGACGCCATCCTGAGGCTGGGGAACGGGTCCCAAGGAGCCAGGCAGATGGAGAGAGCCGAGCCGGAGAAAGAAGGAGAGGGAGAGGGAGGGAGAATGGGAGAATGGGAGAGAAGAGATCTAAAGTTAGAAGGGACTGGGGGGGTGGGAGTGGGGGGGCTGCTCTCTGTCTGTAGGGATCCACCCTCTAATTACAGCTTTCCCAGAGGAGAAGGCTCCGGATCCAATGAGCAGGGCGAGAGAGGGAGGCAGAGGGTCCAAATTTCCTGCTCCATTTGCTGAGCTCCCCAAAGAAGGGATCTGGGCGGGAGAGGAGAAAGGGCTCCCCAGGAAGGGGTGGAAGCTGGAGGGGGACAAGGACATGGGCAAGTAGTCAGGGCGTCCTGGGGGCTGCTGAGGAGAAGGGTTGAAAGGTTGGTGGGCCCAGGTGTCCCACACCCCCGCCCCCAGCAATCCCATGGGCATCTATGGGAACCCCTCCCTGCGCTCCCCAGTGTCAGATACCTGGGGGATCTGGGCCTGGCTGTCCTGGGTCTCTCCTCTCTGGAGGTCTGGCAGTGGGAGCGCAGGCAGGAGGTGGCCTGAGGGTCCTGGGAGGGCTCGGCTCCTCTCCCAGGCCAGCTCCACTCTTGCTGCCACTTGGGCTCCAATCCTACAATCCTACTGACTCCGGCGTCCTGGCTGCTGCTCGGCTGCTGCTCCTGCTGCTGAGGCTGCTGCTGCTGCTGCTGCCGCTGAGGGAAGGAACAGGAGGGAAAAGGAACAAACCCCAAACCACTAATTAGAGATCCAGGGGGGGGATGGGGGATTGGGGACGACACTCACACAGAGAGACTGGAACACACAGCATACACACTCATGGACAAACATAGGATGATCCATGCACACGTACACGGAGTGCTGCCCACACGGACACAGCCGCTGTCATGAATGAACACAGACAAACTCACACACAAATGAGCTCAGTGACATGGCTGGAGGCACACACACCACATACACACCCGAGTTGACCACAGAGATGCTTGTTTCCCCAGTCACCCGCCTCTAGATCAGGAGAGCAGTGTGTATGTGCATGTGTGTGTACATGCATGTGTGTGTGTGTACATGTGTATTATGAAAGACAGGAGGGAGAACTCTGGGGTGAAGGCTTTTGCTGCCCAGGCTTTTAGGATCACTGAGGTAGGTCCCAGAGCAAGGCCTGGAGGAAGGGGTAGAGAGTGGAGGAGGGCTTGGCACAGGCTGGGGATTCCCCAGTCTTTTTCCCAATGCCTCCTAGGAAGTGGCACCTGGGCCTACCTCACTCTATGGAGCAGAACCTGGATCGTCTGGTTCTGGGGAAATTAAGGCAGGCAGGAATGAGAGTGGGAGTAGAGGTCATTGGCTCAACTCATCCATGCCCAAGCCTAGCCCTTTTGGATTAAGCCCCCCAAAAGGTATGTCCTTCCTAGCCTCCATTATTCCTTGCCAGTTACCCTCCCCAGACCCCTCTTGGCCACACATCAAATCATTCCTTGATGGATAGTTCTCATGAGTGATCACGCTTTCCTGGGAGGGAGCCGCTGGTTCCCTTTCCCATTGCCATGCATCAGTTCCCTCTGCAGCAGGAAGAAGTGAAGTTAGAGTTTAGGCAGGACTTCTTATCAAAATGGGGACGAAGAGAAGGAAGGTTGGGAGAGGGAAAACAAAAAGTCTGTTAACTGAAACCTGGCTCCTGAGGTAAGTTTGTGGGAGAGAGAGGACTAGGCAGCCAAGTAGTAGAACCAGCATCTCTCCCATGTAGGGGCCCAGCCAGCTGGGGTTGTTTTACAAGTTATTCTCAACACACCCCTCTCCCCCATCCCAGCCCTGCCCATCAGAGGAATGGAGCCCAGGCCTTCCCTTCCCACTCCCCCAATTCCCCAGCACCATTCCCTCACTTTCCCTTCCTGATTGCCCACTTCCTTGCCCCTTTTGCTCTCCTTGCTCTCCAAGGAAAAGGCGGGGAGGGAGAGGAGCTGATGGAAGTCCAGGGAGCCTGACCAGCAGGCAAGGTAGGGACCCAGGAGTTCTAGATTCCAGCCCAATGATTTGATGTCCCCCAAGGAACACTGTGGGCCCAACTTTTGGGGAGAGGTTTAGGGAACCAGGGTGGCTGCCAGACAAAGGAAAAGAAGCAAAAGAAGAAATGCAGAAAGACCGAGAGACTCACAGAGCAAATGAAACAATCCGAGAGAATCAGAAGAGACACTATGCGCTACAGCAGAGAGAGAAAAAAGAATAAAACAGAGCACCAGGTACATGGATTCAAAACAGATAGCAGAAAAAAATCCCAGAAGGAAAAGAAAAGGGCCCAGAGGAACAAAGATGAGGAGACAATGGCTTCAAGAGAGGGCAGGACAAGGAAAATAGCCCGAGGCCTGGCCAGGCACCCAGGAGGCAAGAGGGTTAAAGCAGCCAGGGGGGGGGGGGGGGGGGGGGGGGGGGGATGGAGTATAAATAGCGCATAATTGTGTCCCATGATTACATGGGCCACCCCACCCAGTCTGCCCAAGAGGAAGTGCCCGTGGTGGGGTGTCCCATGACCTCGCAGTCTCCCCCTGGTGGGGGGGCATCTGAGCCTGAGGTGTCAGATGGCGTTCTGCTCCCCCTACACACACACACACACACACACACACACACACACACACACACACACACGTTGGGAAGAAGATGGGGAAGTTTGGAGAAATTACTGCACCAGTAGCAGAAAAGCTCAAGTCCAGTTGGTGAGGCAGGCGACTGAGGCAGAGGAGAAAAGTCTGGACTCCAGAGGAGAAATGGCAGGTGGGAGAGGCATTAGGCTTAAACTAAATTGGGAAGAAAAGGAAGAGAGTGAAGGGCAAAAAGAGGAATGAGGAAAGGATGGGAAAAGGTGCAGGGTTGGGGAGAAGAGTTGGGGGACAAGGAGGGTGACCTTCTCCACTTCCTTTTGGGGGACCTTAAGCCCTAATCCTATCTGGGAAGGAGCAGTAGTGCCCGGGAAGAAAGAGGAAGAATAAGGAAGGAGCAGTGTCCCCAGGAAGATATGAGCCAGGGTCCATATCAAGGGCCAGTCCCTGGACACAGGGTCCCCTCCCAAAATTTGTACCAAAGCCAGGCAGAGGGGCTGCCTAAAGCCCCCAGCTACCTCCCTCAGGACCCTGGGTTCCAACTTCCACACCCTTTTAAAAGATAGCTCTGCAGCCCAACTGAGGCCCAGATATTCCTGGGTCCAGATTCCCAACCCCCTCTCAGTGCCCCCCAAGGACGGAAGGGGGAGGGGGCAGCAACTGGGAGCCCTGACCAAGGACCTGCCTCCACCCTCTCAGGCCTCCCTCAGCCCAGCCTCCCAGGGGGTGGGGCAGCCTAGGCAGAGGCGCCATGTGGCAGGGGCGGGTAGAGGCTGCGGCTCTGGTCCTTCCAGTATAAACCCCCTAGGCATCTGGTTTCTATCCACCACCCCCCACCACCCTGGGGGCCCCTCAGCCTCCGCCCATGGCCACCCAGACACTGAGCTCCCAGAGATGGACGCCCCTGAAGGAAGGGGTGGGACGGTGTCTTTCTGATCTCTCAACCCCAGGACTGGGCTGAACCACAGGGACCACTCCCTCCCCTCCCTCCCCTAGGAGACTCAGAGGGGGATTTCGAGGTTACAGGAGGCTGAATCTGGAACCTGCCTCACTTCTCTTTAGCCCTTTTTGGGATGATCAGTGGGGATGGAGAGAGAGTTTAAACTGGTGAGAGTGGGAGGCTTCTAGCCCCTTAGTTCTCAAGGAAGCTGCCCCCTTCCACACCACTGCCCTCTGCCCACCTCCTAGGCTGGGCTCCTCTGAGAACCCTAATCCAAAGGGACTCCTAGTCCTCCCTTGTTCTTATTATAGGTTTGGCTTCCCCAGATCAAATCCCCAGTGAACAAGGAACAGAGTCCCTGAAATAAAGATTGACACATACTCTAATATGGATCTAATGAGTGACACACTTCCAGATATACACTTGCACACATGCTGAATGATGAAAATATATATGCTCTGCAGATGCCCACATTGACACACACACATATGTATGTATATATGTATGTGTGTGTATATATATGTGTGTGTATATATGTATATATATATATACATATGTATATATATTACAGATGATGCTTACACCAAGACACTTGCCTTAACCCCCAATCACAAGAATGCACACACCAGTGTACATACATGCAGAGAGACTCACAGACACCTAGCATACACACACGGACTCACACAGACTCACATCACACAACAGTTACAATATGGTAAATGTCCCATACATACACACATACACATGGGTCTATCATCACAATCTTACAGCTCTAGAGATCCCTGAGCTCTCCTAGAGGGGTTTTAGGAACCCCTTTTCCTACAAGAATCTATAGATAAGGGCGGTGTGGAGGGCACTGCCAGTCCTACAATTGCGTCCTACAACTCCTACTAGTGTGGGAACCTCCAGTGTACCTTCGGGGAACTCACTGATCTTTCACCCCCACCCCATGTCCACCAGAGTCCAAGACCCAGATGGCCCCAGCAAACTCCCTGGCCCTGGGGAACCCCGGCATTCCCACCCCC